GCGGATGATCGCGCTGCTGGAACGGTGACCACGGCGGACGACGCAGCAGTTTTACTCGCCAGTATAGGCGACGCGGGAACGGCAGGCACGACGGAGGCTGCGGTGCTCGATGCAGAAGCTTTGCACGCAGGTACAGGCGACGCAGGAGCAGCGAGCTCGGCGGAGTCCACGAGAGGGCTCGCGGTGTGATCGGCCTTGAAGGCCTGAAACTCGGAAGTGAGCTTTGGGTAGCGAAGCCGGAGAAATTCCGCAAATACAGCGTCCATGATGTCTACGTGCCCAGGTGGGGCTACCCTGGGTCTTAGAAAACACTCGCCTTGCGGCGAGGCCCCAACTTCTCGGACCTGAGCGGTTCTATTGAACACAGGTGGCGATGCGGCACGATTACTACAGGACAAAGAAAAAAACACAACAAAACGGAAATAACAAAAGGAAACGGAACAATTAAACACTTCCAGGAAAACAGTTTGTCGGCAGATGTACCACGAACACAGAAACAACAAAAGGAAACAAAACAAATAAAAACTTCCAGAAAGAGCACTTAGTCGGCAGATGTACCACGAACACAGGCCGCGCGAACAATCGCCGGGCTAACAAAAGCCGGGCGAACAAAGACCGGGCGATCGAGTGGTCGATGAGCACGTCCGCACGTGACGGGTGCCTCTATCGGAAAGCGTATTCATCGTGTATTCGGAGGCTAATTGTATCAGAGCGCCGCTCATGAAACAAACGAATAAATTAAGGAAGTGTTAGGCAACGGCATGGCATTTGTCATTTTAATAAGGAACGGTGATCACTCGCTCTTAGGAGGTCACCGGTCACCGTTCTCGTCGAACCCGTTGCTTGAAGCCGACGAAGGGCTTGACGAGTAAATTAACCCTCAGACACAGCCCACTGAGTTTCTCGCCGGATCTTCTCAGTGGGTCGCGTTTCCGATCCGGTGGTAGATTCTGCGAAGCACGGCTTTTGCTAGGGTTCGCGTTAGCAACGTCGTCAGGTTTGAGCCCCGTGAGCTCACCTACTAGTTAAGGTTACGCTGAAATAGCCTTTCAAGGCTCTCAGATAGGTAGGTAAAAAAAAAGCTCTTAGGAGATCCGTATAGGATTCGTCTGCGATAAAAATGGGAGAAAAACCTGGCGACCTATTTGTTATTTTGGTATACACTATAGTAATTGTTATGAACAGTTGGCGTTTTTTGTTTATTGTAAGTCATTATATGTATTCATTTTAGTTATATATTTTGTCTGTCTCATTGAATATGGCGTCTATTGCATACAATTTAAATAATTTTGATCCATATTGACGTCTTGATGATAAAGCTATTAAGATCTAAAGTTAAGTTTCAATTGTATTGTAAAACGACCGCTTCAGCCTTCAAACTGGTACTCAAAACTGATTCGCGGCAGAAATAGGCCGAACCGCGGTACCTAGCCGCGAAGGCGTACAATACATAGATGCAGAGTGGTGTGGTCCACGGACCTGCAGTTTGACGGCGAGCGGCTCCCAGATCCCCTTGACGGCCATGTCGACGATCTCTCCGGTCTCGCCGTCGATGCCGGCCGAGGCGAGTCCGGCGGCGTGGCGCGCCCGCAGCGCCGTGAGCGTGCGGATGGTGTTGGCGCCGCAGTTCTGCGCGAGCGTGCGCGGTATTATCTCTGCAACACGATTATACAAATTCGAGAGACTTTTTGGCGGGAACGCGAATAGTGAAGTTGTGTGATTTGTTTTATTTTGTCTATTTAGTGTTTCTTCAAGTTTAAATGTGTAATAACGGTGGTTTATTAACTGTTTAATATCTGTGAAAGTGCACAAATGTGGGAAAATGTAACAAAGCCGCTGGACGTAACTTCTCGGGATCCTCCAAAAAGTCCACTGAAAAAATGTCAGTAAATGACCATCATTTTACTGAGATTATATTTCATCCCATATCATCTCATCTCATTTCATTTCATCCCAGTTGATCTCAAATTAATCATCTTAATTTTATTTCATTTCATTTCACTCCATATTATCATTTTTCATAAAATTATGAATATAAATTAAAATAAGATATGACTTGCACTGAAGGCGGTTGGCACCCGTCTTCAGTGCGAGTTTTTTAACGTTCTCTATAGCCTAAAAGTTAACTCATATTTGTATGAGATCGTTTGCCTACGTTTGCCGCTAGGGGCACTGTTCCAACTGCATACAAAATTGGGTTAACTTTTACGCTATCGAGAACGTTAAGAAACTCGCACTAAGCACACGGAACTCTGGCGTTACGTAACGTTCTGAGCGCAGTGCAGCCTGCAAGTAAGATCTCTAGAGATTCATATTCTAAATATTGAACTTCAATTTTTCCTGTTTACTTCTAAATAATCTGAATTATTGTTGTGTTCGCATTATCTACAATACAAAAATGTAAATATAATTTTATCATTCACTGATCGTAATGAAGTTCATAAAAGTCGGTCATGATATTGGCAGAATATGCGAGGATCAAACTAAGCAGATTGATTAGATTTGTATATGCCAGTTGTTTTGAGGATCTTCCGCCTTTAAAGGTTAGAGTAAGGGTCATGGCACACTATGCAAGCACGACAACGGCACCGCTCCAGCCCAGTGAATAGCTTGTCATTTGAATTTGATCCTTAAATCGTATGTCGTATAATATGTTTCGTAACGTCGGTTGCGATATCGGGACAGTGGTGGGGAAGACCCTAAATCACCTCGTGTATAATCAAATCGTAACCCGATTTTTATTGTTTACCCTAAACTCTAAAATCGCTTCGGGCGAGCTCACGATGATTATCCCCGCCACTGCCGTCCCGATATCGCCACTGATTTTAGGGTCGTGCGTAGGCCGCTTGAAGCTTCTTTCATAGCGCATACGTTGTTATGGACACGTTCACAGTGTACTGTACTATATATTATTAGCTAAGCATATGTATACAGCGGGGTGCTAGTACCGAGCGCGGTGGCGACGGCCCTGTAGGGCGTGTTGTGCGCGGCGCGGTGCGACAGCGCGCTGGACACGGCCATCTCCGCGGCGCCGCCCCCCGCCACCAGCCGCGGCGACACCACCTGCACGCACAACATTATATTATAATCAATTTCAATGCCATCATTATGTATTTGTACATGATGGATATATCGATATCAAAATATGGGCATTTTAATTCTACCACTTCAAAAAATTCTGTAAAAAAAAAAAAAGGCGAAATAAACAACCTTTTTAATTATAACTAGCGACCCTCCCTCGCTTCGCTTCGGAAACATTAAATTTTATTATTGATAGGAGAGTCCCGCCATGTTAGGCGCGGTACGACAATAACTGCGGGTGAGGCCGCGGGGCGGAGCTAGTCTAAAAAAAGTAGCCTAAGTTACTCCTTATATCATCAGCTACCCATCAGTGAAAGTCCCGTCAAAATCAGTCCAGTCGTTCCAAAAATTAGCCGGAACAGTCAGACAGACAGACAAAAATTGTAAAAAATGTTATTTTGGTGTATGTACCACCGTATATATGTCCATATGCATGTAGTAAAAGGCGGTTATTTCAATATTACAAACAGACACTCCAATTTTATTTATATGTATAGATATTAATTCTGCAATGGTAAGAAAATGAATAACAATATTAAACAACTTCATTTTAAGTACACAAAATAATTATATTTACTCTAAGTACTGACTAATAACGTATCTCTAGTATGAGTTCTGTTTAAAATCATTAGGACAGAATGGGCATTTAAAATAATAAATTAACATTTATATTTGTTTTGTATTACATTTTGAAAATCAATCATACTTTTAAATATGTATTGATATTTGTTGAAGTTTATAAATGTGGACATTTATTGAAATTACCAAATGTCTTAGTTCTCTCCTTTTTTTTTATTGAACTATGACCTTATATATATATATATATATATATATATATACATATATATAAAATAAGAAAGATTGCTTTTTTTTTTAAAACCAATTTTATTAAATCGAATATTCGATTCGAAATAAATGAAAATTTCTGTATAGTAGATAATGTATCAACAGAATACACTTACCAAATTCTTGGCGACGTGTAAAGCGTCTTGAAGATTCCTTTCAATCTCATTCAGGACGTCCTTAGAAGCACCACGGAGTAATATTGTGCATGCCTTAAAAATGTATTTTTAGATTATTATTTCATTTTATTTTACTCATTTAGTTATGTAATAGTTTAGAAGGGACATTACATATTGTTATACTATTATTGTAATAGTATGAAATTATTGTTATACTATTAATCAAAGTCATTTATGCTGCACTGTCCTCACTAAGTCATTGATGCTATTTTTTTGTTTAAATAGTTGAATGAGCTCCAGCTTCGTGTTAAGAGATTAGATCCCATAGACATCAAAATCAATGTTGCCATCGTCCTTCATTATTTACTCAGACAATTTTACACTCACTGCTATCATGTTTGATGCATTAAGAATCGCCTGACATATTAAACACTGTTTGATAGTGAGTTTATTAAAAAAAAAGATGAAGTAGTTATAACATCTACTATTTAAAAGTGTGTGTCGTTCTTCCATACATTCCTAATGCACTTCTTAAATTGTTTTGAGACTTGGTAGCTGTACTTCAGGGAACAATTCTATTACAGTAGATAGATGGTAAGTGAATAGTTTCAAGAAATCTATGTTTTTCATACAAGTAATTATAATCACAGCAGAATGTGAGCAGATTAGTAATTTAAATATAATTAATTTAGTACCTTGGGGTTCTTGCACTCAGTGACAAAAGTGAAATATTCATCTCCGATCTTCTTGATCTCAAACAGTCCAGCTCCGGTGCCGACATCGGATTCCTTGAGTTCCTCAGTACGGTTGACAATTGTTGCTCCACACGCCCGCGCTAGACGGTTGTTGTCCGTTTTACGGAGTCTAGAATTATTTTCAATTAATTAAACTGAGAAATAAAACTTTAAAGGTGTATGCTCAATACTGTAATGGCAAATACAGAACTGAACTCAATGATTCTATCCAATCATATCGAAAAATTAATTTATTGCTCACAAAGCGGAAATAGTTGATTGATTGTTCAGTGGTTACGAGTGTGTGGGTTTTATGATCTGCATAAACCTCAAACCCTCACTGCACCCTCCACATAAGACATCTATCAAGTCATAGTCTCAAATGTACCAGAATGTACATGCGTCAAATGTACCAGAATATCTTTATAATCAGAATGCATGGTGATTTACTGTGTTATAGTTACATTATTATTACTACATTACATTATTATTAGACATAGTATTATTTATAGTTACAAGACACAATGATAGTAAGAGATACCACTAGTGTGATACTTACTACCTCCAAAATGTGTTAAATCATTACTACCATGTTATTAAAGCACCACATCAGTCACAGTAAAACAAAATAAAGGACGCTTTATTCACATGTACAATGTGAAAATACATACCTGCGGATAGCAGTAATCCCAGCCTTAACAAGGTAATGTTGTGCAAGATCTGAAACTCCCTTTTCGGTAAAGACAATATCTGGTTTAAGTGCAATAATTTCTTCACATTGACGCTGTACATGTTCCTCTTCTAGTTGTAGCAGTTTAGTGAAGTCCTATAATAAATAAAATCATGTTCGTTATGATCAGTCATATTGTGACAAATTCTACATTCTAATCTATGTATATATATAAAAATGAATTGCTGTTCGTTAGTATCGCTAAAAGTCGAGAAAGGCTGGACCCATTTGGCTAGTTTCGATCTTGAATTATTTGTGGAAGTCCAGAGAAGGTTGAATGAAAATACTCGGAATTAAATAAAAATAACTATTTTGTTTTTCCTTTGATGTGTCTTCCGTCGGACGGATTCTTTTTGTTTGTTTTAAGTTTATTTTATACAAAAATTTAGGTCTTTTACTTATAGATTGAGGCACTACGAAGTTTGCCGGATCAGCTAGTATTCAATATAATAAGAAATCAGGAATTTTTCCATAGACACTAACTACCCATTGGCAATTACACAACAAAAATTATTCACTGGGTATTGTGGCAACCACTTTAATGTCAGATCAGAAATTTAAAAAGACACTGCCATATCAACCATTGTTTTTATTCAACATACAAATGTCTTTGTCAGACATTGTGATATTCCATGTCACTTTGATTAATGTAACTTAAACTTCATGTAAAGATGGCCAATATCATAATGCATGTACTCGCAATGGAAGGAATTTCTCAATCTTTTTGTTTTTCGAATTACTCTTCTTTTTTTGGTTTAAATTGGCAAACCTACAACCCATGTCAGCCAATCAAATGTTGGCTAGATTCCACCATAAAGACATGAGGACATAGTCTCATTTGTATTGAATTAATGGGTCCAATTAGTAATTTTAAAGTATAAAACTTGCACAGTATTATTTACCTGTTCACCCATAATCTCAATGTTGGTCTGACTCTCTCCCTTTTTGTATTCAAGTGGGCAATCCAACAGGATAATGCGCGGATTTTCAATATACCTCCTCATCTTTGGATGGGTTACATCCTTGTTGAACATAACACCGCTGAGCACACGAGACTCTTCAACTGTGCCACCTGGGATCTTTTCCACTTTTGCATAACTGTAAATGATTTATTAAAATTGTATTTTGAGACATATGTGGTAAGTGTAAGAAGACAATGATAAAAAAATATATATTGTGTCACATACAAAATACTATCTTCATTTCATTAACTACGCAGATACTTCATTTTGGTCCTTTTTTGTTTCATTTTCTTACACTCTTATATCATAGTACACACTACTTCATCTACTCTCCTTAGCTGATTTTGGCCAAGGTGTCCACTTTAACTCTATTGCTAATTGTCAAGGTATTTTTTTTTTCTTCTATTTTATCACATCTGGTATTTGTTGTCAAAAATGATTCCTTGATATATCCTTACTTTGTGTACTGTTATATAAACTACAATCAATGGTATACCTTGACCCTCACATTGGTGTAATATTTAGCAACTGTATCCTAGCCAGAGTCAATCAGTATATTTATTATAAGCCTTTGATATCAAGTTGTCACTTTTGTGAAATTATTTTGTTTTTCTGTATAAAAATGTGTAATACTTACTTTTTGATGTCAACCTCAATTCTGCCATTATCATTCACAGTAACAGTATTAACCGCATCAAGAGCAATGTCTACGGCAAGATCTGCCCAACGACCGATGTACTTTGTTCCAACACATGAACGAATCTGTTAATAAATTTTAAATTTATTGCCAAATAATGGATATCAAGAATACATATGATGCAATGACATAGTCAAGCACCGGTCTTCAGCTGAGGATTGTCCTCAAATGTCAATTGAATAAGACCATGCTATATCACTCAAAGACTGAAAATAGCCCAATCCATAGTTGCATTTTACATAACATAGTCGTTTGGAAGAATTCTGGTTTGATGATAAGCAGTGCAGTGGTAAAAATATCATGGGATTGTCCCAAATAATTCCATAAAACACTCCCCATGGAAAATAAAGTATAAACTATAAAGTATGGAGTACTGTTACCCATATTTTAGAAAAAACATAAGTTTTTTTATTTATTTTTATAGTATAACCAATCATTGCCACACAACTATCAACAAGTTGCAGCTTGTAGCAAGTGCATTTCAAGACAGGGACTGTAATTATTTAATTTTGTTTATATCAACTATTTTACTTACAACTTCAAACTACTTACTTAAAACTATTATTTTACTTACAACTTCTTTCATCTTATCTCTATCATTCAAATCTACAGGCACTGAAATTTTGTCTTGAAGCAGAACTATAGCATCCTCTAAAGCTTGGCGGTATTCTCTGATGATGACTGTTGGATGAATATTCTGTGTCAAGAAAGGTTCTGCAATCGCCAACATTTCTCCTGCTAGCACTATGACTGATGTGGTTCCATCTCCAACCTTCAAACAGATAAGACTCAATTTCATAATTAGATGCAATACAACACAGACACTCAAATAAATAATACTAATATTAGGCATTAACAGATTGTGGTACATGATTATCTATAAAAATCATTTTCTAACCTCTTCATCTTGGGTCCTTGCGATTTCGATCATAGATTTTGCAGCTGGATGTTGTACTGTGATTTCCCTGAGTATAGCATTACCATCGTTGGTCATCACGATGCCTCCCATAGGGTCCATTAACATTTTTAACATGGCCTGAGGTCCGAGGCATGTTCTTATAACATCAGCTATGGTCTACAACAAAAGTAAGTACAGGTTTTTTTCGCGTTTTAAATCAAGTTTATGGTGAAAATTTTTATATTTTCAAGTTTCTTAATTTAAATACCTTTCCTGCACTAATATTTTCAAGCTGAACTTTCCGGCCGGACTCACGTTTTGTATTTTGGCCTGAGAAACGAATATGATGAATTAGAACATGTTTCTTGATCAGTTTATCATATTTAAGTGTTAAAATACTCACTGAGAACTAATATAGGTTGCTGTCCATACATTTTGAAAAAATTAAATGTGTTTTATTAATTAAACTACAAAAACTTCTTCCAGAAAATCGGTGCCCAATGACAAATTTATGAGAGACAAGAAAATCGCGTGTTGATCTTAGTTGCCACACTGAAAAAGAACCATAGATTACATTTCATAAATTATAATAAAAACTTTCTACTTAAGCTTTACTTATGTACCTAGTATGGAGGGGCTCACTGAATTTGGCTCCCCTTTTTTGGATTTTCGGTATTTTTTTATTTTTAATTATTGTTTGGCAATGAATAGTATCATTTTATCACGAAAGTTGTACTCCTAAAATAGTCTTAGAATAATAAGAAATCACTGAAATTTCTATAAGCTTGTTAATATTCAATATCATTAAAAATAACTTAATTTATGAAAACTGCGCTAATCGTACTTTAACGACTAATTGGCCGTCTTCACTGACATTTTGTTGAAGTATTGTTGAAGTTTTCAATATTTTTTTGATCTACATAAGAAATAATTAGACAGTATAAACGCACTTGTTAACAAAACGCTAGTAAATATGGCCATTGCCAGCTGACTGACAAAACCGGCGCATGCGCAATGTAGGCGTGAGGCGATGGTTTGCTTATTAGATATAAAATAATTAATAATTGGGAATTTAATTGTTTTTATGATCGAACAATCGCCAATAGTCATCGAGCAAACGATATTTGATCAAAATTAATTAATCTGAGCGATAAAAATAAAGATATCTAGTAAAAGGGGCCAACTTAAGGGTGATCATTTGTTTAATTAATTATAAATAAATAAAAGACGAAGAAACAATTTTTACATTCGAACATTAACGAACAAACAACGAACAAGTAATTAAAAAAAAACCGAAAATCAAAAAAAGGGGAGCCAAATTCAGTGAGCCGTATGGAGGGTAGAGGTAAGGAAACCGTCTCTGTTGTGAAAAAGTGTCCGTTAAAATCTGCTAAATAAGGGTGGCGCCATAGTAGCAACCAGGTAAATTTTAAGAAAGGTGCTGAAATATATTAGAATAAGATAGAGAAATAAAAAAGGACAAAAGAACTGTAAGGTACTCATAAATCACAAAAAGTATTTTATTTAAAGCTGATAAGAAAATGCAATCAATGTCTCCACGTTTCACCACAGCAATAATTTTAGGTTATATTGACGAAATTATTTTGGACTCCGTAAACATGTGAGGTCTTGTATATTACACTGTCGCTAACTACTCTGGTCATTAAATATATTAAATTTCCTAACTCAGCATACTTCAATCAGTTAAAAACCACTCAATTCATATCATACCCTGTGCCTATGCTAAAATTGAAAAAGAACAAAAATTTAGTTAATTGTTTGAAACATGGAGTTAGCGAGAGAGAGAGAGAATATACTTTATTGCACACCAACACAATTTACATTAAAAAAAAGTCAAAAAGCACGTATGTAAAAAAGGCGGTCTTATCGCTAAAAGCGATCTCTTCCAGACAACCGTTAATCAGAGGAGTAACTATGGTTTGAAACCGTAATAGCTGGGATGAAATTGAAAAAAATGAAATGGAATGAAACGAGATGAAATAAAATAAATTACTGTAGAATACATTATGCTGAAACTTCAGTGAAGTCTGATCCGGGAACCCACGTTCAACGATATTAAACCCCTCATTCGTAGTAATTCGTACACTTTGACAGATGTTAAACGCTTACATAAAAAGTCATCATTACTAAACGTTCAAATTAATGAGCAAATTATTACAAGAAAAAGCATGTTTCTTCTTGTGTTCTCAAAAATATTAAGAATAGATTATTTTCATTCACAAAAATAAATTACACATTTTATAATAGTCCTTCTTAAATACTAGAAGAGTATTAAAACTAAAAAAAGGAGTACAAGTTATTCAAGGTAACAAAGCAAAAAGCAAAACAGCATTTTAAAATAATATAAAACAAAGAAATTGAAGATTTCAATTGATTTCGTAAAGCACCTAAAATCTTCAGCTTCCGTAACGCCATCTAGCCTTAAAAAGAAACAACATGAATTTGTCTACATAAAAATGTCAGAGTGTTCTCCTATTAAAACACATTTCAATTGATTTCATGCATCTTGCAGTAGGTGGCGCATATAATATTTTTAGTAAATAATTGTCAGACCTATGCCATTGCCTGGCCAGATTAGGCTCAGATTCGGAGTTATGACGCCCGACAGCGAGAGCAGTGCTCCGCAGTGTCTACCATTGGATCGAAAACGCGATCCACTGAAATCTACTGGTGGTAGGACCTCTTGTGAGTCCGCGCGGGTTGGTACCACCGCCCTGCCTATTTATGCCGTGAAGCAGTAATGCGTTTCGGTTTGAAGGGTGCGGCAGCCGTTGTAACTATACTGCGATCTTAGAACTTATATCTCAAGGTGAGTGGTGCATATATGTTGTAGATGTCCATGGGCTCCAGTAACCACTTAACACCACGTGGGCTGTGAGCTCGTCCACCCATCTAAGCAATAAAAAAAAAAAAGATCCGCCGGGAAACTCGGTGGACTGTGGGTTAATTTACTCGCCGAGCCCTAAGTCGCAAGCGACGATTTCTACAGGTACGGTGATGCGGACTGTAGATACCTTACTGATGGAGTCTGACTCCTGATCGTCGTGGAGATCTACGTTTCTCACGAACCACGGTGCTCCAACGGCTGTCCTTGAAAAACGGGATTAGTTAATTTGAAGGGTTTTCAAATTAATGCGGACCGCGTGAGCGAACACTACACTTGGATAAGTCATGACCGGGCGTGTGCAAGTTTTGTAGAGTGTCACCTTATTACGAAGAGACAATTTACTTCGCTTGCAAATCATCGGATAGAGGACAGCACCCTGCCGTGAGTCAGGTTCAGCTGTAATAAGAATAAGGTATTGTTTTTGTGCAAGTCTCACTCTTGTAATGAAGCGCTGGGTGGGTGCCAGTATAGTAATTGAAGATATTGAAATATTTTATTGAATTTTAATATCATAGATTGTTAAAACATCTTTTATTAATATACCTATTGTTAAACGGAGAAAGTTTGTAGACATAATTAAAAATTACATTGGAGAACCATTTTAAGTTCAACATCATAATGTTACAAAATAATGAGAAAAGAAAAACAAATAACCATCGTTAAGTCTATCAACCTAATGTTTTTACCAGCAGGTTGCACGTTGGGTTTGTTAGATCTATACAACGGCATCAATTCGGAGAGTCTTAGAAACGCGAAGAACACCTCATAGTGTATTTGAACTAGGCAGTACCTATAGCAGTCAAAATAATCACACTCGTCGTGATCTAAAAGATAAGATGCCTTGTGTGTTGATATCAAGCGATGCAACGCTGTTCGAATCCCGCTGGCAGGTACTTACAAATTGTTCTAGTGAAATACGTAGGTACTTAACAAATGTTCACGATTGACTTCCACGGTGAAGGATCGTGCAATAAAAATCAAATCAAGAAAAAATTAAATTTGCGTAATTACTAGTGGTATGACATCTTGTGAGTCCGCACGGGTAGGTACAGCATAAATACTGTGAAGCAGTAATGCGTTTCGGTTTGAAGGGTGAGGCAGCCGTTGTACTGTTAAAACTGAGACCTTAGGATTAGAACTCATGTCGCAACGTGAGTGGCGATATTTACGTTGTTCGACGTCTATAGATTTTAAGTTTTTAAAGGTTCAATAAATAATCGATAACAATCATTCATTTAATTACGTCAATTTAAATATTATAAATAAAACAACATTTAGTTTGGAATAATTTTAATATATAACTTGAAAATAACAAAGCCTTTTTTAAATTTTGTAAATTGAAAATTTTGATTACGTAATATTAGGATTCATTTCAATGAAATCTCTTTGACTAGACATTTAAGGTGAGATCATAAGTGTATAATCTATGGGTAAGACCTTCATTAAAAAGAGCGCGAAGCTAGGTTCAATCGTTAATACATCTTATACATATGTAGGGCATCCCAATGCAGTAAATTTTACAACGCGATCACTAAACTAAGTACAAAGTTAATGATTTAATTAGTAAAGTATGTACAAATGACTGAGTTAGGTACTTTAACTTATATACTTAAAAACAATTAATAATAATTCAGATGAACAAAATTGAGGTCTTAAGGTTCTTAAGGTTAAAATTAGTACATACAGAGCTCAGTACGTAATATAATGCTATCTGATAAAGCGAGTTTAATCGTAAATTCCATGTACATACCTACATCAAAGATAACAATTCTACGAAATTTTACATCTAACTGTTGCAGCAAGATGTTAATGTGGTGGAAGATTCTAAATAATAGAACATTTAATCAATCACATCATCTTCAACATCCGATGACTCGAGTTTATCATCTCTGTCTTCATCATCGTTATTGACCTTCGAGCCTTCAGTGTCACGCACATTATTCAGGTTATCATAGACCCGTTTTAAATTCTTCATAACATACGAAGTGCCGTTCGCCTTCCCAATTTTATTTTGATTGAAAATTTTATCGGGCGTACCGTTGTTGGACCTTACGGGCACGGAGAAAGCAGACAGATGTCTCCTCCCGAAGTCGCGACCCAAACGCTTTTCAGGGTCGTCGGTTTGACTAACATCAACATTGTCAGGCGCGACCCGTTTTCTATCGTAGATATGACCTGAAACTCGTAGGTCTATAAAGAAGTTCAGAGGATCAACACCGAATTGGGGATTGTATAACGGAGGGTACCACATTGGTGGCGGCGGGGGCAAGATTAAGTTGGATGGCGGAATGGCACTGTCAGTTGTATTCCGACCAGCAGAAGCGGCGGGCTTTGGTAGTTCTTCGGTGCCGACATCGACAAAGGTAGACTGCCTTCCCGGAGGACCAGGACTGCCGCTCGATTTTGCAAGATCTGGTTTTGGTGACAAACTTCTAGACAAAGAATCTTGAATCCTAGCGTGTTTTTCTACAGTTAATTCTAGCGGTACTTCCGGTCGTGGCTCGTGCTCTTTCTTCTCTTCCTCCTGCTTCGGCCATTCTCGACGCCAATCCGTTTCGTTCTCGGCAAAATATTTATGCGTTCGACGTTTGAAACGACGTTGGTAATGAGGGGGTCTACAACCATGTCGTGCGTTGACGAAGGACCTTAACATTTCACTGAAGAAGAAGGCATGCGGTTGTAGTGGTAATGCGCTATATAGATATGGAGGGGTAGCGGCCAAAAGTCGCGATACCAATTCTGTGTTCCGTATATCCCGTACGTGAGTTTTGTTTGACGCCTCTGTAGGTACTTTCTCTTCTTGCACGGAACTCATGATCTGGAACAAAATTAACAAGCTTTATTTATTTATTAATTAAAGAACTGATGAGAATCAATCTGCAAATGAGCGAGCGCGGAACCCTATCGCAGATCAGGATCACAGCGTGAATGTAGTACGGTGAACTACAACTGAGCGGTATTTCGAGACTTTTATACTGTTCAACATTTGTTGCTACAAATTAAGACAAAATTTTAAAATACATACTAATGTAATCTGCAAAAATCAATGCGTGGGCCACCATGGAAACTGTATAGAATAATAGTGCGTGACCATGGAAACTGTATAGAATAATATACCCAAGCACCAGGTCTTGTATGTTGGCTATAAAACGGACTTTAACCGTCTGTGTGTAGCTGATTCCAACTACATGGTAGGCTACCTATTCGCTGGTAGTTGGGGCTAAAAAATAAAAGTGGGATTTAGAGCCCACTGTGTTTGTCGCCAGATTTTCTCAGTGGCTAGAGATTCTGATCCGATGGTAGATTCAGCGAAAGATTGTTCTGGCTAGGGCAGATCTTAGAAACTTCTTTGAGCCCACCAGTCAAAGCGAAGCCAGAATATAAATCTTCAGGTAGTTCAGCAAAAAAGTGAGCTTTAGTAAGAACTCAAAACGAATTGAGAGACGACCTAATCTGCTATTATTAGTTTGCATTAAATTATGTTGAACGATATATTACGACATTGTTATCATTGCCTATTAAATTGTCACATACATTTTGCACTAATAGCTTCAAAATTCAACATTCAAAAATCAGCTTCAAAATTAATAATTCACAGATTTTTTTTTTATCGTACGCTGTAAATGGGTTTTGACGCCATAGTACGGGTGTGATTCAAGTGGAGCAGATAGTCGGGTGATTATCGCGAGCTCTCCCCCGAACAATGCGTCTGACGGCATTATTCCGAGTGCTGCACTTGTACGGGAGTCCTTAACAAAAGTTTTAAGATGTGGAAGTAATTAAAATGTGCATCATGCGGATTTAATCTGCTCTACGATATTTTGTGCACCGCTTTTTTGAGTTGCCAAAATATATGTAGGTGCGCCTGGAAATGCACACGGGTTTTTCTTTCAATTTCATACCTTTCATCCTTCACCCATTAAAAACTAACTCGTTTTGTAATAAGTTATCACTGAAGTCCATGGATATCATCTCACACAGACAAGACATAGTCTCAAGTGATACAAATAGACTCAAATCACTTGAATGTTTCGAGACAGAAATATATAGGATGCCACCTAGATGGGATGACCCCTTGTAAATCATTTACTGATATGACCTAAGCCCGCCACTGAACTTTGCCAGTACTGAGCTATGCAATAATTTACGGATCCCGAACTTACATCAACAATCCGAATACATGCCCGTAATATCGTCTGTCGACATCGATTTTTCAGCTCAACGATGTTTTATTGGCAATATTCGTATGATGCGGACGGCGATACGCTTGCGTTCCGATACGGAGGATTCCCTGTTTCGAATTTCCCTTTGAAGGGATTATATTTTAAAATACATGTATTAGGATCTCAGTAAGTCATTTTTGTTTCTTAATAACGTACTACGGACGAGCTAACAAATTAAATATTACTAGTGGTCCCGGAGTAGTCGAAATTCGACTATAATTAATTGAAATTATAAGTTTGAACATTATTATGGTTCTAGTTACAGATTTCGCCAAAACCACATCATAGACAAATAATATTAAAGATAAACAATAATAACCTATTCTCAATTTGACCACAGACTTTATGCAATAACAAAAATTTGACAATAAATGAAGAGTATATAATTATATGCGTGTGTGTGTCAAATACATGGTAGTGTGTGTAATGTTTTTTTTATTGATTTAATGTATTATTAATGCATAATTTAAAAAATATATTAGTATTCTGCACTCCTTCCCTATATTCACTATAACTTTAGAAAATTTCATACTTCTCCGTCCGCGCAATTTTCGTAAAAAGGGATACAAAGTTTTTGCTTCACGTATTAATATATAGATAATTCAATCTTTAAAAATCGAAATTAAACGCCACATTACTAAATCGTATGGGTTTGGAGTGAAAGCGATACATCGGATTTGTGGAACAATAAACCGTAGATTCCGACTGGGCGAGGATATGGGGGAATCATTAGGGCTGCTAAGATTGATGAAAGTTTTGCTATGAGAAATCATTAGATAGAAGTGCAATTAAATATTTTTTGTGAGTTTTCCTTGTGTATCAATTTTATTTAATTGAGTTCAGTAGGACAATTTGATGAGCACTAATATCAAAGGGCTACAATCGGCATAATATATCAAGTTCAGTGAGCCTGAAGCTCTTAAACAAAAAAGCATAAAAGAAAAAAATATTAGAATTTTTATTCAATAGTTAAACTAATGAATTAAACTCATGTCTGAGTCAGGTTAGCTTTTTTCTATACCATAAAATTCTTAGAATTCTGTGAACCATAAAGAGTAAATAATCAAAAGTTTAAAAAACAAAAATATGTGAATTTTCCAAGTGACACTAAATGAATTGAATCATTGAATTAGGTTTTTATTTTACAAGGTTTCATGAGTCAAAATCATTATTTTCAAATATATATAAAAATGAATTGCTGTTCGTTAGTCTCGCTAAAACTCGAGAACGGCTGGACCGATTTGGCTAACTTTGGTCTTAAATTATTTGTGGAAGTCCAGAGAAGGTTTAAAAAGTAGATAAATATGAAAATACTCGGAATTAAATAAAAATAACAATTTTGTTTTTCCTTTGCTGTGTCCTCCGTCGGACGGATTCCTTTTGTTTGTTTTAAGTTTATTTTATACAAAAGCTTAGGACTTTTATTTATCAATCGAGGCACTACGAAGTCTGCCGGGTCAGCTAGTTTTCAAATAAAATTCATCTTTAATGATCTTTTACAACGATCATTTACAAATGATAATTTCATTAAGAAAATATAAATTTTATTATATTCTGTTTTTGAAGAACAGTACCAGCCCTATATCTACATCGCTCACAATAAATTCAGTGTCGTATCTGTATTCAAACAGTTGATGTGAGCGTGAAGCGCGAATCTTACGTACGCGACGATGAGCAAACACCGACTCTACCCTCCTCTTTACATATACATAATCTATACTACACCCATTTGTGTCGGGTTTTTTTTTTATTATACGTTTATATCATATATTTTGTATAGTCTGTACTCAAAATCTTAAATATTAAGTGTATCATTTATTATCTATGGTCAAAATACGCCCAATTTGTTTGTTTGCATCGAAAAGTGATGGTTTTAAATTAGCACTTAATTTATGGTATCACGCAAGACATACAATGTTTTTTTTTGTGAAAAGCGCATCGATCATCTCTATCTCAATTTTCAATGGACAATTAGTTTAATTTGTAATCATGATTGAAACTTACCAATAATATTTTTCCAAATGCTATTTCAAAATTTCTCAATATTATTTACACCGACGAACGTTTACATATATTTGTACTATTTATCGCCAAAAACATTTTACAATTTTGAAAAAATCTCATGCAAAAACGAACGTAATAGAAAAAAAAACGAGATTGCGACGACTGATAAATAATGTAGCTGTTGAGGTGCTCACGGTGGCTGGGAACGTTAATTTCCATATTAAACCGTCACAAAGGAAGCAGATTCAAAAACCGTACCAACGCCGCCGGGGTGGCTTAACAATCTAATTTTTTTTAGATATGGCATTTTGAGCATACTTAAATTCTTTTAAAAAAAATCTTTTAAATATATTTTTTTAAATATTGAATGATTATCAGTGTTGAAGAGGTGGCCATTCCAGTGTTTCCAAAATAAGTGGACGAGCACAGGCTCAGCCAGGAGAGGTTCTATTATTTTATGACGCTCTATATTAGTTTATAAAGATCTGCAGTTTTTTGGACTATTCAATTTGGACTATCTTTTTTTTTTTTTTTTTATTGCTTAGATGGATGGACGAGCTCACAGCCCACCTGGTGTTAAGTGGTTACTGGAGCCCATAGACATCTACAACGTAAATGCGCCACCCACCTCGAGATACAAGTTCTAAGGTCTCAGTATAGTTACAACGGCTACCCCACCCTTCGAACCGAAACGCATTACTGCTTTACGGCGGAAATAGGCGGGGTGGTGGTACCTACCCGTGCGGACTCACATAAGGTCCTACCACCAGTGAAAATCTTCAGGTCTTCCGAGTTTTACACTACTAATACGTTTAAGTTTTCGCTACTTTTCCACAAAAACTGTAAAATGTTCATCGCAAATAATTAGATGAAAATAATAAACGCGATATTAAATCGAAAAAGTAATGTTAATTAACACTACTTTTACGAATTATAATTACGTATATCCAATTGTTAATTTTTAATTAATCAAATGTACATATTATTAATATTTTATTATAATATAATATTTTAGTGGTTTACAGTCGATACAATTTTTCCGAATCCTCCAAAGAAAAAGCTATTTCTTCAATTTCACACTTGTAAACACATAAAGGTATAGGTACTCAATTTTCAACTCTTCAATATGCCACATCCAGAATATTCTGTAATCGTGAACTCAAACAATATTGCGCGGATATACCGGCAGGGTATGATAATCGCGTCAAAACGCACGTGAAGTGGAGAGAGGGGGGCTAAGCTGTGGGCTTAACGTTCCTGATTATACAACTCAGACTGTAAAGAGAGTTATGATTTATAGCGTCCCGTGATTACTTACAAATAAAATTAAAAAAATAATGAAATTTAAACTGTTATCTTTATTCACACTAATATACGTGCGTTCTTCCAAATGAAAACCCATTTTGTGGCAAATGATGATTTAGTATTAAAAAAATTATGTGATATAATCTGTTTGTCTCTAAATTAAACAATTGTATTTATTAATGAGTAATTCATGTGTTTTTTGGTACCAACATGAGCAAACAAATGTTTAGATAAATAAACAAGCGAATTCAAAATTATGAAAACGAACAGGCAATTTAAAACG